TTGCGTGAGGTCGAATGAAAATTTCGTGTGTGTAAAATGAAAAAAAACGCGTGCACACACACGTCGTTTTTAAACACACGCATCGTTTTTACACACACGTTATTTTTTAAACACACATTATTTTTAAAATACACATGGCATTTTTAAACACACACGTTTTTTTAAATACACATAATTGTAAAACACACACGTCATTTTAAGACACATATCATTTTTAATTCACACGTCATTTTTAAAACACGTTTTTTAAAACACCCACGCCATTTAATGTACACATGACTTTTTAAAGCACATACCATTAAAACGCACAGTCACGCCGTTTTTTTAAATGCACACGTCATTTTAAAACACACACGCCACGGCCTCCAATACGTACGTAATTTTGAATTATTAGTACGTTTTCTTCTAGTATACACAAAATAATAAATTTACATTCCGCGCCTCGTATCTGAGTACAAGTTTTTAATCAAAGGTCGTTGTAATTCGGATAATGATATTGTTTGTCGAGGTTAAGTGCTCTCTCCATGCACTCAACCAACGGTGTTTACATTGCTTTGATAGATGATGTTGGAGGGTGGTCTACAGATGGATGTAATGTATCAGGTCAAAGTTCAAATAATTTCACCACCTGTGAATGTGATCACCTGACTAACTTCGCATTACTTATGGTAAGTACATCGTTAATGAAGCTGTTTTAAGTTCCGCTAATTATTGTTATGGTATAAATAAATTCAATGCAGTGATCGATGACTGATAAATAGGTACCCATTTCAAGATACATAAATATCTAGTATAGTACAGTTAATTGGACGAGTAGTCCAGCTGTTTCGCACTGTAAAAGCTTCACATTCGGATTCCTTTAATTTTACCTCCATAATAGCTCTAAGTTTGGAACCTACCGGCTTTGAAGAGCACTAGTTACTAGCTCCCCCAAAATTTTTTGATTTAAGTCACCTAAAAATGTTATAGCACACATGAATAATTGTTTTAATACAAATAATAACTCTTTCTTTTATAGGATGTTTATAGAACCGCATCTGAGTTTGATGAAGGTCACAAGAAGGCGTTGTCTATCGTATCTTACATCGGATGTGGTATATCTCTGTTCTGTATGCTTCTGACTCTGATCACATTTCTCGCATTCAGGTTTGTATGTCACTTAAATACATTGTATTATTGTTATAGATACATTCACAAAAGAGTAAATTCATTTAAAATCAGTTTCCCGCAGAACGGGGAAAATATGTTATTAAATAGAGAAATCGCAATCACCGAGGTGAGGGGGGTTGCTGTTATGTAGGCAAACATCTTCGTCACATTCAGTGAAGTTCAAATACAAATTGTAATTAAACGTCAAATGGCAGTCCAAAACAGAATTATAAGCATTTAATGTAGTGTCCATGTTTTAATGTATTGCGGTAGTGCGTGGAGACACTCTCTCAATAACACGTCCTCCAGAGCTACTAATGCGTAGTTGCGAGAAGTTACACAGAATAAATGAATAGAGGGGCCGTTGCTCGATGCATAGAATGTGATCACTTAGCATCTCATACAATGATTGTTTGTTTGCGGCACTTATCACAAGTAAGAAATGATAAAATACACCACTGTAACGGTCAACCTACGTGTAGAGGTAGATGGTAGTGTTCTAGCTCTAAATCGTCTAAAACAAGGGACGATTGGTAAATTGCTTCCGTGACGTTTATTCATGATTATGGAAGCCAGTATTCCCAAATGCAGGCCCTGTCGCTGTATTTTGCCAGAGTTTTAGAATGTAGCGTACAGACTACAGAGGGAAAAATGCTTTTTAAGTGAGCGCAACATGAACTTGTGCGCATGCGCAATTACATCTTTGAGAATATGGTAAATGTCACATTGAGCTTAATGTGTCATGATGACATAATGTGATGTGACAGCGTAATGTCTAAAATAGATTTATGAATAATATATATTCTTTTCACTTGCATGTCTTTTTTTAGACGCCTGAGAAAAGACAACCCAACCAAGATACTTATGAATTTGTGTTTTGCAATTTTCATGTCACTATTATTATTTTTGGCCGTTTCATTTTCTGTGGATTTTGTACCAATCATACCCGAGCTTTGTACTACCATGGCTGTATTGTTACACTATTTCTTATTGGCTGTTATGATGTGGATGGCGCTAGAAGCATTCAATATGTATTTATTATTGGTGAAAATATTCAAGACATATATCAGACACTTCATGTTGAAGTTCTGTCTTTTTGGATGGGGTGAGTCACACTTTTTAAATGATCTTTAAGGTATACATATAGTCAGAAAGACACGTCACTCATCGACTTCGTTAACTATATATTTTCGAGTCTTTTCAGCGAGGTGTGTATAACGTGCATATCTCGTACATATAAATGGTGTAATTATTCTTCTTAACAAAAATGTTGTCCATATCGGTTACGTAATAGGTATATAGTGATGGTATATACTCCACTAGACTATACTAGTACACTAGATTAGTTGTACCCATACGACTGAATCGTCCATATCGTTACAGGCACACCCATGGTTATTGTTATGATTACTCTGGCAATTGATATTGATAACTACGGTTACTATAACAACATGTAGGTATCAATTTAAATTTATGTAAATACAATTGTCGATTATGGTTTCAAAAACCCAATTAAATATTGGAATACTTTCGACATTTATTCTCACTAGTACTGCTTTATTATGTTCTTATATGTGTGACTTTATGTAACATTCCTAACTTATACTGTATGTACTGATGTACGGATCACACTTATATGCTTTGTGTACATTTCAGATGTTGGTTATCCAGGTACGCCTTCTTTGCTGCGTTCTTGGCTCCAGTCTGTCTAGTACTCATCTTCAATACAGTGATATATATCCTTGTTGTTCACCAAATATGCAGTCTTAATTCTAAAAATATGTCTACATCAGATCGATATGATAAAGCAGCACAACTTCGTGGATCTGTCAGTTTATTTGTACTGCTTGGTATCACCTGGGCTTTGGCGATACTGGCAATCAGTGAGGCTGGTTTGGTCGTCAATTATTTGTTTGCGATTGCCAATACTCTTCAAGGATTATTTATATTTATATTTTTCTGCGCTTTGAAGAAGGATGTCCAGAAAGAGTGGAGAAACATGTTTTGTTCATGTTGTCATCGTCCATCTGGTTCTGCAGGTTAGTCATGTGTCAAATGAAATTCGTCCTACCCATTACTGCCGTGTGGTGTCGCCCTCCATTTCAATCTCAAAATATAGAGGCATATGTTCAAGATACATACTACACCACTAGTCATTTCATTAATACCAAATATATGAGAATATTAAAGACAATATACAACTGGCTAAGTTTTTCTATATTTTTACACTTCATCTGACTTGAATTATGACTGACAAAAAGCTGAATGGAATTAAAAAATGTGAAACGTGTTCAATAACTCGTGTATGAACAATAATTTTATTAAATATGAGTTTACTTCGTGTAATTTTTTCTCAATACATGCGAAAAAAATCCACAAGGTCGGAACGGGAAGTTTTGTTCATTTAATTTGTTTGCACTTGTTTCATTATTGTATATTCAAGCTTTCAGAATATATGTATATACGTCACATAACTGATACAATTCAGTCTGTTCCACGCCTTGCATTGACTTGGTGTTCTGTGTCATTTAGTATGCTCTTCTGAGCGTTATTTGTGTGAGACCTTAGTTGCCCGTCCTGAAGTCTCACTACTACAGCGCAGATAATGTTATAATTGGACGTTAAGTAAATCTAATTATTTATTTTTCAGAGTCTGGTTCAACCTCTGCAATGAAATATCTTCATCGAGATACAGATAAAACAGATCTCAAATCAGGTATTGGTCTACCTAGTTGAGTGGCATTTTACCAGCGTGACATGCTCAAACACTATATGGTTTTAATCGTACTGTCAATATAAGTGACCAAATCTGTGTGCTCCGGGAATCGAAACGGTAGTAGTAATTGACAATGCTATAACGTATGCAAATCATACGAATACCTTGATTGTAGTTTATTATAACAATAGTGTCTAGTACTTATTCAATACAAGTGATGGGAACATGCTCAATTGGAGGATGAATAATTATATTAGCATTATTCTTGTGACAAATATTCCCGATAATGAATATTATGAAAAAAGGTTAATCAATAATTCAAAATAACCTTGTTGATGATTCTAGAGCTTGGCCTAACTAAAGGTGTAAGCCTCCATGGCCTATTCATGAACGAAAATACCCATAACACCCATAGTCACGTGACAATTTATCCGCCACTATTTCCTGACATCCATTGTATGTTTGCTAATTATAAACCGAAATTGTTCTAAAAAGAATTTCTGAATAGTATATGGTAATGTGACACACACAAAAGTCAGTATCATGGAGCTACGGCATTGCTGCATGTTTGTTTGTACATAATAAATTAATGGTAATTATCGTACGATTTATGATGTATTTTACCAGTGGAGAGTCGGCCTTTTTAAACTGCTTCCTTTACTCGTTCATTTCACATTGTGTATCGTATAACATGTGGTAAGTTTCAATGTTAATATTGTCATTCGTGAATAATAACCTTATGTTTTGTTTTATGTTTTCCAGAGCCTTCAACAGAAAAACATATCTATAACAACAAATCATCGAGCGAGTTTTGAACAATTGAGTGTATTATATCTTCTTAAACACGTGTTATTCTCAATGCAGAATATTGGTCCTATATACTCAGAAATAAATCAATCATAGCCAACTGACAACGGATTTAGATATTATTGATTTTGTGTATTTTAATTTTATCCATATGAAGAATTATAAATAAGTTTAAAATCATGAAAACACTGTGCTTTCCACTTTACATTTAATCACTTTGATATATCCACCCTAGAACCGGTCTAGAGAGTGAACATCCAGGCAGGTTATCGCTAGTGTATTTGACACGTTGTCTTCCACCCTGTCATCTAGTTGAGTATCTATAAACGTGTTGGTCTTCCTAAGGTCGCAATTCACCTCAATGCACTAGACGTTAGGAATCGTCCGAATTCAGACCAGACACACACACACACACACACACAAGGATGATCGAACCGTTTCGTCTGTGCCAGTAGAGCTACTCTACACAGAGTGACCAGGATTGATTTGGTTTGTCTATAGATCACGGAACCGGAATCTGTGGCACAACTTAGTGAAATTGCAATTCTATAAAAAACGCAATCTAATTTCAACTTAACTAAACTGAATTAATTGCAATTCCCTATAGCAATGAAAATTAATTTAAATCATCAACCTTAACCCTAAACGTAATGCAAATCCACGTATTTCATTGAAATTATGCGATATTGTGAAACAAGTGATACAGGCTTCAAACATCATTCTCTGAGACTTGCATGAACTGCTCTGCGATCTCCTGCTTTCAGCGGTGCCCCCAGAATAACAGCATTCCTCTGCAAACTAGACTCCTGTATTTCTTCGTTGTTGTGTAAGTTGCAGAAGCCATTGACTGTCATCTATTTCTACATCCTGGAACTGTGAGTTATCACCAAACACTTCCATAGGCAATCCCCTATTTTAGTGAATTTATTCTTTGATTTTCTCTGTGCGCTGTTTCGTGTAATTGTATTGAAAGGTATTAAAGCCAGGAGCTTTAACTTGGTGTATGTGCATTTCATTTCTAGTACTATTGTCTTGTCTACTTCATTCTAGCAGTGAAAGAACCCCCTGTCCAGTGTGAGTTATGTGGATGACCCTCTAAAACAGGCCTTACACTGTGCAGTGAACATAGGTGCGCTACAATCCATACATTGCGACATCAAATAGTTTTAATTACCGTTGATTTTCCCAGAATCCAATTCGCTATTCTAATGGAAATCACGTGTACGAGTTTTGACCTGGGTACGACGTGAACTAATTACTGATTACCGAGTTAGAGCTTGGTGGCGTCTCAGTTTGTCCTCGTTAATCTATGCAGCAGTCAAATCAGCCACCTTTGTTCATATAAGACCCATATTTCGTGCATGCGTGACGTGACAACCACCGCCCTTTAATATATGTATAGTGATCGTATACCCCAAAGCCAATGACTGACATCGTGTTCCAGATAACTAAATCGGGGAAGTATACCTGTCACATTGATTATTGTGTGAACTCCGAGCACTAACCAACCCGTTCCGTTTTTTGCTTCGCACACTAAACCTGGCCATACAAGTCTTGAGACAATTTATAAGAACAACAAGATTTGACTTGGGAACTCCATTATCAAACAGAATTCTCAGTGTATATACAGTCTTGAAATGGAACATTTTAATTGTAGCCGATAAGCACAGGGTGAGTATTAAATATAAGTACAGCTATATATACGTAATTTGGATTTGACAAATAACCTTAAAATATTTCAGATTACACGTTTTGTGCCACTATTTAAATTTCCGTATACGACAGAAAGATCGTTTTATATTTCGTTTTCTATTTCCGTCCGTCCATGGATTATATGAAAACGTGTATTTCCAATACCAAGAAAAAGAAAAGTCGTTACTACTGACGTGAGACAAACCTAGGCGGGCGGACTGTTTACAGTGTTCAATACATTATCAAACAATATTAAATGTTTGAGTACAAAAAAACAATATTATTAGAATGCTAGTTCTTACATACGCAACTATACGCTATGTGAGCTGTATTGACACATACGATTTGTAACTGGCGTCACACACGGTGCCACGACCTCTGGATAACCCGAATAGTGTTTACAGTTTCTGTTGAGTACTCGACACACTCGACCGACTCTCACACATACGTAGTGTCCCGTGATTCACAGTGCAAGGCAATATATCAGGTGAAAAGAATGGGTTGAATATATTTACAATTTAAATGAGATGACGTCTTATGCGTAGCCAAGTTGTGTACACGTGAACCTGTAACTGCTAGGCAAACTACGCATGAAACTGGTAAGTAAATACAACTAACCTGTTCCGTGTTGGGCGTTGTATATTATAGTCTTTTAATGCAAGTATTTATTGATTTATTTTAGTCAGACTATATATGTCTTCTAAATATTTATCCTAACATCTGACTCGGACGGGAATACGGTATACCCATGTCTCAGGGTCGTTACACTAGAAACCCATCTGTAACTACATTATTCGTGACGATAGCATTTCTGGTTCATTTACGTGAATGTTGCCAATTTATGATCGCTCAGAGCTATTTTCAGTACTAAGATCGTGCCGAAGTGTATTTATTTTGTTTCACTTCCTCTTTCCTATGACTTGCTGGTAGGTGTGTAGAATTTTATTCTACTACGGTATTCAAGAAGCTGCAATAAAACAACCTGACCTACTGACCTTGCTAGCTATTGTTCGACTGTCAAACAGGCCTTGAAAGTAACCTCGTATATCATGGGTAGCTCACAAAACCATTGCATTGCGTAGAAAACGTATGTAGTTGTGGGAGTCCTATATTCTGAAACATAACATCAATGAGTATAATGATTTTATATAAAATGCAAGTAATACAAAAAAATTGTTTTAGTACTATTTTATTCTGTCTTAGCCCCTCCTTTGAATATTTTTATATGGGTTATTTTAGGATAATTTATCGTGGACAATTCCGCCATTTTTTGAAGATAGAGCGATATTGTAACTCAAAAACGATCAAATGAGGTTTGGATTGTTTAGATAGTCTCTGCTTTTGAATAATTATAAGATGTATGTATTTGTTTAACTTGAGAACGACAAGGTATAGGGGAACCCATTGTCAGAAAGATTCAATGCTGTTCAATTCAGACCTATGCCTCAAACTAGAAAAGTCTTTCTGCTGTTCCTAAATTTAAGTTTCCATAATTTCTCTTACATGTAATGATATCATATATATATATATATATATATATATATATATATATATATGTATATATATATATATTATATATATATATATATATATATAAATATTACATATTTTATACGCTACTATGGCTGTGACAGTACATGGAGTGATATCACATATAGACATTACCTATTTTATACGCTACTATGGCTGTGACAGTACATGGAGTGATATCACATATAGACATTACCTATTTTATACGCTACTATGGCTGTAGGAAAAGGTTCGACGTATGTGTGTGTGCGAGAGAGTAAAACAAGGCGATGTTGACTGTTTCAAACCTAAAGAAGCAATGATTTATTTCTCAGTAATACAGAGATAATTAACACATGTTGTTTATACGGTTGAAGTAAACAACTACTACTAATACTAAATATAAAGTCAGACATGAAAGGCGGCATTAAAACTATCTACACATGAACCAGCCATGAACAATATGCGGTAAGAGTCTGTTTGATGGCGGAAGCGTTTGAAATAAAACAACAACTACACAGATTTTCCGACACTCCGGGCCGGCGAGATAATAAACGATCAAAGTGAAAATTAGGAATTAATACAAATATCGAAACAATAACAAGAGAAAATATAACAATTCGAACGTCTACGCGGTAACCCAAGAAAAGTAGTATTAAATTCAATACGTATGTGAATATAAGTACATAGAGAATGTGGAAATTAAAAATATAAACTAAAAATAAACGAATGTATTTAGATACAACAAACGAACTAATGTCAAGCACACTGTTTACAGTACAGTACGATATACAGATTACATATTGTCTTAACTCGAGAGTCTAATAAATTCCTCTGCATTGAGTGCAGCCATTCTTTTTGGACGCGTTGTTTTCACATTGTCTATTATTCGTTGAGTCGCTGAAATTGTATCGCTGACGGACGAACTGTTAAAACTAACATCTTGTACTTCAAGGGGGTACAGTTTTATGATTTTCCTTCCATGGTAGACTAGCTACATATTTGCCATCCCTGGTGCGGGTCAAATTATTTTCTTTGACTTCTTCGAAATCACTCTGACGGGAGTGTTCATTGTGAGAAATACCGATGGCTTCTATCATGATTTATATTTCAGTCAGTTTGACAGTGGTTGTCATGACATATACTGATAAAGGTTAATGACAAGACCAGATGGCGAGCTGGTCGAAATCAACCAAAAACATCTTATGACTCTGCAGTTTTTAAGATACAAGACAGTAGCTGTAATTCTAAACCAATGTTGTTTGCGAGTTTAAAAAAGGTAGTATCTTGGTGGAATGTTAGTGCGAGATTATTACCCCATCAATATTAGTTAGCGTTGACAATGTATAGAAATGTTTTCTTTAGACAGCTTGACGAGTAATTAATTGATTATGATGTGTAAAACTTTCATGTGATTGGTTGTTTGTTGGAAGGCAAGGCCTTGGAGTCTCTTATACTGATTGTAATTGGTTAAGGGGTGACAAGAAATAAAGATGGATTTAATGCTGTCTCGGGTGAAAACCAGGGACTTGGCAGAGAATCGTTTTGGGAACATGAACGAAGCTTGTGTGTGTCTTTTGTCAGCCTAGCGTGGAAACGACCGAATCCCGGTTACCTAAGTGAAAGGTTTTTAACCATCAAAAATACCTATCACACTTCTAAGTCCCAATATCGCGATAAATTGAGTTCGTCGTTAGTACTGTCTACCATAACCTTTAAACACGTGGCGTTCATAACTGATGTATTGTTATGTATGTTGGTCGGTCCAGATAGAAGATAGCCCAATTTCGACTGAACTGCAGTTGGCCCAGGACCCTGAATCACGTTATCTTGCACAATGGACCAATAGTAGTCGGCACCTATCAAAAGCCTTATTTCGAAAGTGTCCTTTTTGACATGAGGTGCGAGTGGTAGTTTTTGTAGATACTCGTATTCAGAAACAGTAACACTCACGTAATTAGTGACTGGAGTGGAAAT